CAAGCGCTGTTCGGATTTTCGGCCGGGAGACGAGGAGAGACACAAGGTAAGTCTATGGACGGCGTGCACCCGCATGCAGACTCCGTGGGACAGGAAGTGCCAGCAAGCACAGGAGTCAGCGCCGGATTGGAGACCCGCAGCAGCACTGAAATGGACATGAAAGAAGATCATATTAAGAGACATCATTTAAGGTAAGTGCTTACACTAACATTGGGGGGAGGGGGAAACAAGTATCCTTTAATGTCACTTTAAGTTCCTCCTACTGACTGGATAGAAAACCAGGGTGTGTGTGTACAAACAAAGCACCGCTCCTCCACGGCTCGGGGAAGGAATGAGTCGGATGCTTGCTGCTGTTAACACGTCCTCGCTCCAATCTAAGTCACATGCAAACGGAAGAAAAGCTGGCGGCACATCGGATTCCCCTGGAATGATCTCTATGACTAAGCCCATGATTGTGTGAAACGCGTCAGCAGGGATGGACCATGGATGGGACAAGCTTAAATGAACTATTCCCGTGGAATCTGGTGTGCGGCCATCTTTTCTTTTTGTCGTAGCTTCATGTCATCCCCTGCACATCTGCATTCAGAGTGGGAGAAAAAAGGGACAGCCCTGTAAGCCAATAGGGCATTGCACAGTGCTATTAATCTAATAGTTTGCTGATTGGAGGAGAGAGCACAGAGATGACCTCATGATTGAGGTATGGTTGACCAAGCTATAATGATATTACTGCAGTAAGGAGAGTGGACAGGACCTTTGTTTGGTGGCTGGCAGGAGTGTATTTCAGCTTTGTATATATTGATCATTCACTGGAAGGGAACAGCATGAAGAAATGTCACCTGCTCCTTTCTTTCAGTCTTAGATGGTCTTAGAATAAATAAATACTTGTGTCAGATGTTTAATGCTGCCTGTGAGCCTGTTGGACAAGATCCTGTGACCGGTGGAGAAATGAGGGGAGTGTTTGTCACTGCAACACAAAGACACTAATAATACATATAATCTGTCAGAGGCTTCCTGAGAGAGAAGTGTTTTGCTGCAATTTGTGTCTCCACAGAAGATATTTCCCTGCACTTCCTGTCAAGTCAGGAAGTGAGAGGAAATCTCCCAATGGAGGCACAGACTGCAAATAGAAATTGATCAAATGCTCTAAACCTTCTCCTCTCTGTTTAAATAAAGTTGTTTGACTGGAATTGGACTTGAACTCATTTCCACGGCCCCCTTGTCCTAACACTGGAGCGTTTCCTGAGCTTCCCGAACACATGCTCACTGTGATTGGCTATTCCATCTGCTTATCTGTTGCTAAGTGACCTGGAGCGCTCAGTGACAATGCTGTCACTGTACTAGGGGTGCATGATTGAGTATGCTCCCAGCACAAAAGAGGTGCGCATATATGTAGCAGCTTGGCATGAGGCCCACCGCCATGCTGCCACATATATACATGCAGCCGGCAGGAAAAGGGTTTAAGTGGGCGTTCATATTGCAGCAAGTGTTCAGAGTGGCACACAGCCTGCAGGAAAGGGTTAAAGAATGGATGGGTAACTCCTGCCCCTCCAGCTGTGATTTAATTATACATCCCGTCATGCCTGTAACTGTCAGTCTTGCAATGCCTCATGGGACTTGTAGTTCCACAACAGCTGGAGGGCTTGAGTTGTCCACCCCTGGGTTAAGGGATCTTTAATAATGCAGCAAAAGTTCAAAGTGGCATTTATTGACCTCTGGTGTAAAGTCGGCGAGTTTAATGTTACAGTAACAGTTTTGTCTCCCATACTTTTGGAGTGTGGAAATGATAAATGGGAATTGTTTGCAATGGAAGGTAACACGCGGTTACATAGATACTAATGCAGAAAAGTGGACGGTTTTCGTTCATTTCCTGATGTAGTGTCTTGTACCAAGCGGTGCTGCAGTCCATGGTGCTCCTCATTGTCTACACCAGCATTATGCTGCAGCTTTAACAGAGCGACTTGTGACACATTAAAAAAGCACAATGCATCTCCAGCGCAGCCAAAAACAAACGTTTGCTTGTTAACGTTCCCGGGGCTGGACGAGAAGCCTCACACATCAAGATGAAATCACCTCGGATGCACTGGGGAGCCGGAGCATTGTGCTCCACATAGCAAGCTTGTTCTTGACTTGTCAGGGATGGCTGACTTTGTAACCCAGATCTTTACACCAATAGCACCGGTTTCTTCCATTGTCCTGCATTGCTGACAATCTGCCCTTGTATTGAGGGGGGGCATTGACCGGTGCAACATGTAGCATGGCACTGCTGGTGGTGGAGACTGGAGTTTGCTGGACTTGCCTGGACTGCCATGACTTCTATGAGCTGTTAGTAGAAGACGGCATTGGTATGTTCTGATCTCACAATACCTTTTCTAAAGATGTGTAACATAGTATCAAAAATTGTGCTTTAGGCATGTAGTTATTCGGTGTACATGACCTCCTTTATTATGTATGTGGACATTGTGTTATGTGGACTTCTAATTAAATATGTCTGTCTGCCCACATCTGTAAGGGATCTGATGGATTTGACATTTTGGTAACTGTTGCTGTCTTGGCTGCCAGCTGCCTGTAGAATTGCCGCTGTACCCAATTAAAGTCACTTCCTCGCTGCCCAGAATGCTGCAGACTCTTGATGGCTAGCAAGGGGCCACCTTTTGAGCATCATGTGACTGGATGATACGGTGAGGTAGCGGCACCATAGGAAGAGGTGACTCTAATTGTCACTAGCTAGTGTGACATTGGCCTAATGTAGAAATATGCAGCAAAATGACAGCTTTTGCCTTTCTGTATGAGATTAGTAGACATGAAGTTGGCTGTATGTTGGAAGACATGGCTTCCATCTTCATCATTGTTTTATATATCTCCTGTTCTCATTTCCTCAAATTATTTCTTTGCTGATTTATTATTTTTAACAAGCCAGTTTTTGTAAATTCAGAATGGTTTAAAGCAGAGGTGGACAAATGAATATGGAATTCAGGAGCCATCCTGACCAATCCAGGAGCCAGCAGGATTTATTTTAGCAGCCAGCTCCATTGAGAACAGCTACTGGAGAAAACACCCAATGTTAGGCTCCAGGTGTCATTTTTAAGGAGCATTGGCTTCCTGGCTCCTGAGATTACTCCAGCTCTGGTTTATAGTATGCCTAAGGCCTTATTCACACCAAAAGCGTGTGTGTTCCAGAACGGATAGCTGCTTAAAAGCACCGAGATTGCTGAGAAACTTCCCCTTGCGTTTTGGGGCGTGGCGGTGCATTGTATTCAATGGCACCGCTTCCACGCCCTGCAGTGTGATTGGATGCCTGGCAAAACTTTGCCAGCGTTCCGTTCCACTACAAACGCAAAAAATAGGGCTTGCCAAAATATTTCCTTCACTTCCTTGTCTTGACACATTAGGAAGTGAGTTGACTGTTGTTACCGGGACAGTTGTCTCAATTGGAAGATTGCTGCTTAGTTCCTGACCCAGTGACAACTCAGTTTTAGAATTTGCCTCATTTTCGGTTCCAAGGACAATGGCCACTGGATGCACTTTTAACTGAAAAGGTTTGCATTATGTTTACTTTATATGATGATATAAATTGTAAGGATGGAGCAATGTTTTAGATACAGATTTGCTAGTTTTAGTTGTTTTTTTTCACATATTACATATCACTTGGCTTCTTGTTTTTGGCATCGCTGCCCTAACGTGGACCATTTATGTGGATTTTTTTTTATATATGCCCCACAGCACAGTAAGCAGTCATGTGCAAAGTAAAATAACCACTAGTAACCAGTCATGATTTTCTTTTATCAGTTTAGACCTGCATGACGATAAAGTTATCTTCGTTGCTCTGGGCCTCTGCAGTTTTTATTGTTTCGTCATTTTAACTAAGTCTTAAAGGAGAACTATGGGGTTAAGGCTTTTCCCCATAGTTCTCCTTAGGGTAATGGGAGGACACAAACTAGCGTCCTCCCATCACCCTAAGCTCAGTATACTGAGACAACACAGTATACCACGAGCTACTGCTCGCGGTATACTGAGACGCCGCAGCTGAAGCGGATCCCGACAATTATGTCTGGATCCGCCCAGCTGGGTGAATGACAGCTGGCTCTGCCTATCTAGAGGCAGAGCCAGCTGTACCCGCCCCCTCCCCCGTCCGATCCGCCAGTCAGCGCTGGCGGAGCAGGGAGGGGGGAAAACAGCCACTCCCCTGTCACGGCAGAGAGCCCTGACAGGATCGAGAGGTGAGCGAACACCACTCTGTGTTCGCTCAACTCCCGATCTACAGAGCCGACCTGCGACAGTCTCATTGTCACAGGTCGGCTAGAACTATGAGGTGAGTGAAAAGCACTCGTCATAGTTCTCCTTTCATTTTGAAGTACCGTAATTACATTTCAGTTTGACTTTTTATGCTTTTGTGGCAGTGTGCTTTTTTCATGGTAAGTGCTAACACTGGTAATTGCTCAATAGGTGGAGAATTGGAATTGTCTTTAGGTAGTGTTTTTTGTTAAAGATTTCTTAATATTTATGTCAGGGCTGTGTCTATACCATTCTCTCATACTTGACATGATGGCTACTTTTCTCTTCGGTCCATTTCCACTTTCTCAAACATTCTAGAAAAATCACATCTACTCTTCATTTTCCATTGGTTAGTCATGAGATTTAAAAACCATGCCATGTGTTCTTATTAAAAACCACGCTATTTGTCATTGTTTTCACTTTCTGTAACTGAAAGGATGAGTGGCATGACATGTAGTGTAAACTTCTGATTTCTGTTTGGACCATGATGGCTGCCATTCAGATGCTGGAAGCTCACGGTACCCTTATAAAAGGATGCTACTGATTGAATAGCTGGCCCCCACCAATTTTCTCAAGGTGGTCGGTACAGCCTGTGAGTTTTATCTTGCAGTGTTAAGTAGATGTGTGGTTGTAAATGTGATACATCTAAACAAGTTCATGACCTCTTTTGCAGGAAAGAACCTTTTTTATTTGACTTGTGTATAATTATGAATGTTGTCTCCTTGCAGATGAGCCCACCAGCCCCAGCATTGACCATGAGATTGACAACATTCCTGCCTCAGCTGTAATCTCCATATCTGTGCAGCCTCCTCCCATCATAACCACCGTTCCTCCCAGCCCCACCTCCCCGGTGCCGGTGTTATGTCGTCATCTCTCTCATGAGACTGGTAAGTTAAATTGGAAGGCATTGGTGATTTAACTCTCAGGGTCCAACCACAACCTTTTGAAGCTAGTTTTGTTGCCTGAGTGTGTTTCCTAAATCCAAGTGCATATGTGTTGGCACCGGTAGCTAAATGCTGCTGCTGAGACACTTATTACTGCACCTGTGTATATGTCTGGTTATCTACAAACCATGCACCCTTAATGGGTCATGGATAAATAGAAGTAGTCACTAGCACTCCAAAAGTAATAAAGTCAATAATGTTTATTGACTGTGATGATACACATCTCCTAAGCAACGTTTCGGGACCATGTGGCCCCTTCCTCAGGGAAACAGAGAGGAAGGGGCTACATGGTCCCGAAACGTTGCTTAGGAGATGTGTATCATCACAGTCAATAAACATTATTTACTTTATTACTTTTGGAGTGCGAGTGACTACTTCTATTTATCCATACTTTGCGGAGGTATCCGTTGTCGCTGCTGCACCCGCCCTGTTGCATTGGGCATTTTCCGGTCGGGAGTGCTATGGGACATCCTGGCAACTAGGATGAGGAACGAGGATTAATTATCTTAATAGGTCATGGGAACAGGTTAGGCATATACAGCATTCGTTCTTTTGCTTCTGAATGTTACTTAGACTTTTCCCCAAACCTCTTCTGGTTGAGCCACATTTTAAAATGGTCTCCATGAGTTCTTCATGTCTGGATCTATTTTAAAGTAGACCTTTACCCAATTTCTAAAATCTCATATAAGCTTTAGCAAGTTAATGTAATTCCAAGTCCTTCTCAATCTCCTTAAATCTGCAGCTTTCATAAAATACCTGGTGGTCCTTCCATGAAGATTCTTTTTTAGGCACTTCCTGTTAAGGGATGCCAATAGACTTCTGATTGTGATCTGTGTTATAACCCTGTCGCACGCTCCCGTGGTGGAGACTACCAGGAAGCTTCTCTACTGCAGTCATGTGCAGCTGATGCTGGAGTGAGTTCGTGTAGACAGGAAGTGGCAGAAAGGCTGGAGGAGATCAGTAGCAGTGAGATGTAAGAAAAAAATAACTATATATAGATATATACAGATATACACACACATATGTATATATCTATCTATATATATATATATCTCAAATTACATGACTGCCTATAAGAGGTTTAAATAAGGTCCGTAAGCTGCAACACTTGACCAGATTATTTTGTTTGCCAATTTAATTTCAGAGTCGGCAAGACCTAATGCTCTAGAAGTGCATGCTGGCTCCAAGACAGAAAGATCTAAATCGTGTGACGAGGGTCTGGATGACTATAAAGAGGAAGGGAGAATGTAAGTTTTTTTTGTTCTCCCCACGCCTTCTGTTTCCACCTTATACCTGCTCTGTTTTAACATGGTCTTTCTCTTCTTCCAGACGAAATCTGAAGCATGTCTCCAGCCTGAAAGGCATCAAGGTTTGAGCATCTTCTTTTTTTTTTTTTTCCATGTTAAACATATTTGTTTTTATTTTATTTATGCTGCTCCCATGAATGTCGGGATGCCAAGTAGGGTTTAACTTGTTTGCTGGCTGCTTGTGGACGTCTGGCATTTTATCTTTTATGTTGACTTATGAAGCAAGCACACAGGAGAACTGTGTGACGTTTGACACCTTGTCTGCAGTCAGCCATCCTGATACATGTTTGTTCCTTTTTATATCTGTATTGGAATCTGATGGCAATATTACTTGCCATTGGCCTATCCCAGCATGGCTGAACAGCTATCCTCCCCTTCGGGATAAATAAATGAGCTGAGGGTTTTACATAGCTTGCATCTCTTCCCGTTTATAACCATCTTCTATTTCTTGGTTTTGGGTGTAGTGTTTTAGCTTTCAGGCCTCAGAGGGGAAAACTCGTCCTATATACCGGTTACAGCTGTGAGTGGCTTTTCAGCCAAGTTACCACTGCCACCAGCCTGTGAATTCTCCATATAGTCTTTTGGTAAATGCATACAATAGTTCAGGGCATAGAAGGGGCTGTACCATCTGCTCTCAGGTGTACTATCCATTCTAATACATGAATCATTTGTCTTTGTCAAGGAGAAATGTAGTTTATCATCTATGTTTGCAAACTACTTACCAGTGCATGCTACATTATCCAAAGGATCCCCAAATGTATGTACCCCAGTTACCGCTAATGAGAATTTGTCATCTACCCACATTCTACTCAGGCCTTCAACTCCAGCTATTACCATTATTTCTTTCCCATGCAAATGCCAAAGGGCAGCAAGCCCAGACACCTGCATAACCATGACTATCCGAGTGATTTCAGCTGAATTTGGTTTTGGTCAAAATTTTTCCTCTAGGCACCAGAGAGCGCGCAATCTTCTGAAGACTCCGAGTCCAGGAAAGGCTCTTCCTCCGATGTGTTCAGCGATTCAAACAAAGAAGGTTACTTGTTTTTCCGACAGCTTATCACTGATAAAGGAAAGGTAAGCATCGGAGAGAAAATTTCATGTCTGCCTTTAGCAACAGGTAGTTTAGCCTTTTAAAGGGAAAGTGAGTTTTTTCTTTGTTTCTTGCGGGCTCGTATTTTGAGTAATTCTTGCAATGTTTCCCTTAACCACTTCAGGCACGGAACCTTTTTTTAAATTGTTCACACTTTAACCACCTCCGGGCCGGCCGTAGTAAAAAAACGGCCGGCCCATCTGCATTTTTTTTGCTAGAAAATTACTCGTACCCCCCAAGCAATTATATATTTTCTGAAAGCAGAGACCCTATAAAATCACGGTAGTTGACATTTTTTTCACCTGCACAATATTTTACGCAAATGTTTATAATCCTATTTTTCAGGAAAAAATACACAAATTATTTTTAGCACACAAAACAATTCCTATTTTTTTGGGTAAATTATAAAAGATGGGTTTGTGTCAATTATATGGTAACCAAACGTTCTAAGACTTAAAATTGCACCCGTGAAATTGTAAAAAAAAAAATGGCACCCCAGATTGTCCATAGACAACACTTTAAAAGCCTTTTCTGATTATCAATTCAAAATGATCAGCAATGATCTTTCTACAATATCTGTTCTCACGGACATTCAAGGCAGTAGCCAACCTGTGGTGCAATTGCGGTTGACATACACGTGCGCGCCCTACCCTTGTGTTTGTGTGTGCGTGTTGGGTGGCTGGGTTGTTTTTTTTGTGTGTTTTTTTTTGTTTTAATTTTTCTCATTTTTGCTATCACAGTATTGTGCTTGATCGCCCATTTACCCGGCATTTCACTGGTTGATTTCACTGACTGCTCTGAACCAGGAAGCTCTGGAAGCACAGCACTTCCAGGTTCATTGATCACAGAGAAAATCAGGGAATTAATGTTCCCTGATCTGCTTCCACTACTGCAGCAGTGAGCTTGCTTTAACCACTTAAGTCTGACATTTATAAACGTCATGTGGACTTCAGGCGGTTAAAGTGGGCTTATAGCTAAATACACAGTTGAAATACACATAGGTGAACTGGTGATCTGATAAATATACTGTATGCTAGATTTCATAGAACATATTTTAAGAATCAAAAGTTTGTTTGTAATGTATTCCTGAATTTGATTAGGAGGTTGAATACATATTAAAAATCACTATACACCTCAGAGAATATGAATCTAACCTAGCCTATAAAAGTTGTCATTAGTTATGTGATTGATTGTTTGTGCAATTTGTAACGATAGCATATGTTTCTAGCGAATCATGAAGCCCTGGAAACAGATGTATGTCATATTACGGAACAACTCCTTATATTTGCACAAAGACAAAAAGAATCAGGCCGGACTTTGGGCCTCCCAGTCAGAAGAGGAGCACGCCATCAACCTTTGTGGATGTTTAGCGGATATATCGTACAGTGAAACTAAGCGCAAGAATGTATTTCGCATCATAACTGTGGATCACGAGTACCTCTTCCAGGCTGAAGACAGAGATGATATGTTGGCTTGGATTAATGCCATACGCGAGAACTGCAGCGTGGATATTGAGGTATTACACCCCAATATTTGTATCAACAATCAACTATTACTTGTGGGCACCAGTGTATTGAGTTACCTATTAGCTTCTTATATCTCCAAGACCCCAATAGCGGGATTTCCCCACAGTATTCTATCCTGGCTCCCTACCACAAGGCTGTAACCAAGTGTTACTCTCTCATAGCAGGATTCCACAATTCTGTTTTCATTCTGCATCACTCAGTAGGTGCGACACCATCAGTTTGCTTTTTAATTGGGCTGAACTGTGAATGTTGGTGGTAATATCTATTTACTAAACACTCCAAAAGATGGAACACTTTTGCTAAAATTGTAATGTCTTACTAGAATGCCTGGACGTTCAGATGTCCACCTGGTATTCTATAATGCAATTCACAGAATATAAAGGCTTTGTCTGACCCCTGACCACCCTCTCTATTGGTCAGTGATCCTAGCCTATCCACTGAAGAATCAACATTGCAGTTTAGAAGAAGGGGAGTTCTACTCTACCTAGTAGAGTGCAGATTTGCTCTTTTCCAGTGTGTGTTTTGAGCTCCCTTTAAAGTGTTTTTCCACTTTTGCAGCCAAATTTGAGAAAACCCCATTATATGTATGTTCTTTGTATATATATATATATATTATATTTTACAATTTAGATGCTTCTTTTGAGCAGAACAGCGAGTCTGTCCCCAAGACAAAGACTGGGGACAGAGTGCGTTCCCCTCATTAACGTTCAAGGCTTAGAGCTCCTTAACCCTTTGTTAGGACAGTGTTCAAATCTGATGATGCGATCTGTCAAAACAATACAGACAGGGTTTATGTTAAACATTAACTTCCCCAGCCCCTTGCATAGCAGTGGAATGTTTAGTTTTGGAATCTCCAGAAAAAAGCAAGTAAATGTAAGCAGCATTTTTTTTAACGGATGCTTTGTGAATGAGATAATGTAACAACTATAAAGTAGGTGTTATCCCAATTAGACTGCACAAGTGAAAATGCCCTTTATGGCTTTATTACATATCTGAAGGTACTTACAGGCACCAATGGTTATCTGCTATTAGTGTTTTAGAAACTGTATTGTTACTATAGTTGTGTTATTAGGATGCAAGCATGACTGAGGAATAATTCTAGTGCTGTTTTGTTTTTTTCTTGAGAGGTAATTTCCAATTTTTTTACTCTCCTCTTTCAGCAAACAGACAAAGCAAATGAGAATATTTTAAACAGAATTGGCGGCTACAATACATCGAAGTAAGTGTTGAGTCAAAAAGCCTATTTTGCCTTGTCACTATATAGCACAAGTTTTCATTACCTGAATAATTTCCTTCCAGATCAACCAACAACAAACCAGAACCATCACCCAAGCCCACCCGGCAGCCTCTGAGTTTCCAGACTATCCTAGGCACAAAGTCAGATTCCAGGCTGCAGAGTCCTCACTCCCCCAAGCAGGACTCGGAGCGCAAACTGCTCACTAAAGGTTTGTTGAGAATGTGTTTGGAACTAGCGTTAGTGGTGCATCGCTCACTACTTTGCCAACACCTTCCTTCCTTGGGAAGATCTTCACCCTCACAGGCTAAGATGTGTACTTGTTACTTTTTCTGACTGACCTTACACCAATTGGACTCTGTCTATCAGAAGCTCCATATTGTGCAGGTCAACAAAACTAAAGGTTTGTTGAGAATTTATTTGGGAACTGGTGGTAGAAGTGCAGCACTCAGCTTCCTTGCTTGGGACGGTCTCCCCCATCACAGGCCAGGATGTGTACTTGTTAGTTATGACCTTAGACCAATTGGACTTTGTCCCTCAGAAGCCCCATATTGTGCATAGGATATACTCTTCTGAAATGCAGAGTTGTTTCCCTTCTCTGCCTGTGCCCTCAGCACACACTGGTGCATGGGAATGTGCCCTTGTATTTTTTTTTCCTCTTTCATAAACCATGTATGACCCTCATTAAGGTTCATCTTGGCGCCCCATTGCAATTTGCTTATAGTTTTCTGTTCCTAGCCTTTTAAATGTCTCTTCAGGTAACGTGAGATGCCAAAGAATTGACTGTATTTACCCTGTAAAAATGAATTCTATTGTGTGATGGAGTCTTGTGTTTGAGTCATGAGTTCCACCTTGGATCCTGAGCCTTTGTGTGTCTGAAGAGACTCTCAGACTCCGCTCTCCCATGACAGAGCGCGCTGTTGACTCATAAATTGCTGTGTTTAATCTTTTGACTCATTCATCATTGAATTATTATTTGCATTTGTAAGGGCAGAAGGTTTAGATAAACTTGTGCTCCTTGTTGTGTTTAACTCACAGATGAGACCAGCCCACCTAAAGACAAAGGTACATGGAGAAAAGGCTTTAATAACATGATGAGAAAGACTTTTGAGAAGAAACCTTCAAGCGGTGGCACCTTCGGCGTTCGACTGGATGACTGTCCCCCAGCACAATCTAATAGAGTAACTGCCAACCTATTTTAAATAATTCATATTTTTCTGTCAAAGGACCTGAGCTAACCACAATGACTTGCTTCTTAGTTTATCCCATGGATAGTGGACACCTGCTGCCGGCTGGTCGAGGAGAGAGGCCTGGAGAACACTGGCATATACAGAGTCCCTGGAAATAATGCAGCTATTGCAAGCATGCAGGAAGAGCTTAACAAAGGAATGACCGATATTGATCTGCTGGATGATGTGAGTTTATGTGGGGCATCAGGATCTACTAAGTGCCTGTTTTCCAACAAAAGAGCCGCCATTTCCATCTGTCTTTTTGAAAACATTAGCAGGACCTTGTTCCACTGTTTGCAGTCACCTGAGATTCCTGTGTTGGCAGAGCCATTTGAAAACTACTTAGGGCTGTGCACACTCCCTTTCTTCAAACGTGACAGAATTCAGGCCTTGTAATTGCCTACTTAAGCACCAAGCACTGCAGGGTGTCAAGGGAGTGCCATGCCCACCAGAGCCCAAAGGAACATTTGGTATTTTGGGTTATGGGAGAACATGCATCTCTCTCCTCTTTCTCCCACAATGCAGTGCTTGTTGGCTGAGCAGGGAGTCACCATGCTTGTCACATGGGGGGGAGAAGGAGGGTCCTTTGCTACGGTGCAAGCTCCAACTCAGACCAGTCGTGCACTGCGGTGGACTCTGGCATTTTTATGGGGTGGCAATGGGTTAGGAGAAGTACCAGCTGCGTAGGTTCACTTTGAGTGACAGTTGGCAGTGTTGTTCCATGGTATTGCTGGACAGGAAGTTAGTTGTATATTGATTTTATTCCTTTCCTGCAATGATAGTATACATTTCTTGATCTGCCTGAAATTTCGAAAATGTTCTGTTGTGTATTCTATGTATGTCATTTGCATGTGATTTGCGGGGTCATAGAGGTCATTTGTCATCTTTATTATCCTAGAAATGGAGAGACTTGAATGTAATCAGCAGTCTCCTGAAGTCATTTTTCCGAAAGCTGCCAGAACCCCTATTCACCAATGGTAAAAATCTGACTTTTTTTCCACTTTTACATTTTCTGTTATGTATGCGCAGGATTCCTGTTTTGTCTTGTTTTTAAATTTTGTCACGGTAATAGATTATTTTATACAATGTACCCAGTACAAGGTACAGGTCTTATGTCAGTAGATGGTAAAGGGATTTTACTTCCTTTTAGAACAGAAAACGTATCAGTATTTTTACGTGCTTTGGTGCCATCTAGTGGTTCTCTGTGTGCACGCTCCCTGCAGTCACTGAGAAAAAAAAAAAATCTGTAAGATCGGATTATTTATAGGAATTTTTT